GCTGCCCTATATGTCTCAAGAAGTACAGGCAGCAGCAGCAGCTGCTGCTGGAGCAGCAGCAGCAGCAGCAACAGCAGCAGCAGCAGCAGCAGCAAGGTGGTGCAGATGGCGAGAACAACGAACACAAACCCGCAGAGGGGGGACAAGGAGACAGCAGCAGCTCAACAGCAGCAGCAGCAGCAGAACGCCGAGGCGCTGCAGGTGCTGCTGGTGGCCATACCAACCCAGAGCAGCAGCAGCAGCAGCAGCAGCAGCAGCAGCATACTCAGGCTCCCCAGGCGCAGCAACAGCAACAGCAGCAGCAACAGCAACAGCAGCAGCAGGCACCGCCATCGCAGCAGCAGCAGCAGCAGGGGTCTGCATTGGCATCTCGTGTTTCTCTCGGTGCTGCAGCAGCAGCTGCAGCAGCAGCAGCAGCAGCAGCAGCAGCAGCACCTGAGAGCGACCACGTGGTGGCGCTGCGCTGCGGCCATGTCTTCTGCAAGAGCTGTATTTTAGCTGCGCTGCGGACGCGGCGGCAGTGCCCCGTTTGTCGTGTTGTATTGAAGGGAAGCAAACCCTATCAACGCATCTTCTTATGAAGCTGCTGCTGCTGCTGCAGCAGCAACAGCAGCACCAGCAGCAGCACCACCAGCAGCAGCAGCTAATGCTGCTGCTGCTGGTGGTGCTGGTGGTGGTGCTGCGGTTACAACGCTTCTTGATCTGAAGCAACAGCAGCAGGAGCTGCAGCAGCTGCTGCAGCATAGCATAAGCTGCTGCTGCTGCTGCTGCTGCCATGCAGCTGCTGCAGCTCAAGCAGCACAGGCAGCGCATGCGTTTAGCCCCGCAGCTGCAGCAGCAGCAAGAGAGAGAAAGGGTTGCAGCTGGTGACAGCTGAACTGCTGCAGGCGAATCCCTAAGCTTTACATCAGCAGCAGCTAGCGGCTCCTCTGTCTATAGACAGACCCGCGCTCTGGCTGTGCTGCCCCCGCGGCGGCAGCAGCTGCGGTGTACGTACACCCCAGTGTAGTGGACAGAAAGATGTAATTTACAGCTCTTAGCAACAGCAGCAGCAGCAGCAGCAGCAGAGCAGATGCTGCTGCTGCTCAGGGGCTATTGCAGCTATCTAGTTCTATAGGAGAGCACCAGATGCTCAGCTCAGCACTACTTAGGCACCCAGCCATCTGCTGTCTGCTGGAGCAGCAACAGTAGCTGCAGCAGCAGCTGCAGCAGCAGCTGCAGCAGCAGCTGCTGCTGCTGTGGTAGCATCGAGCGCTCGCTGCTTAGCTGCGCCGTCGGCGCCGCCTTGCGGGAGAGCTGGTTGCCCTTGAGGCGGCAGCAGCAACAGCAGCAGCTGTGCTGCTGCTGTTGCCACAACGAAAGTTGTTGTTTGTTTAGCTCTGAAATCAGAACAGGTTTAAATGTATACACTGCGTGAGAGGGTCACCTGCATAGATGGGGTGGGGTTGTTCAGGCTGCTGCAGCAGCTGCAGCAGCAGGGGTTAAGTTGCAGCAGAGCAGCAGCAGCAGTGTTACTACACACGACAGCTTAGATAGTATACATATTTCGACAGAAGGCTGCAAACGAAGCAGCAGCAGCAGCAGCAGCAGCAGCAGCAGCAGCAGCAGCAGCAGAAGAGGCGATTGGGGTGTATGGTGAGGTAGGGTAGACCAGGGTGTATAAAGAGGCATATAATCCTCACAACCAATCGACATAACCA